GGAGAGGAACCCTTGGAATGTAGTGATTCGAGAATTTGTCGTGTTCGACAATCTGCGTAGATCTACACACACCCCGTTAAACCCGAAGCTTCCTGTGTCATTCGAGAGGGACCTGAGTCTCGAAAGTTGAAGCGCCAGGTCGGACCGGAACCGGTCCTTCTGTGTGTTTGTGAGGGTTAGCCATGTAGAGCTACCTTCCTGGCCTGGGAGGTAAGACATAAACGAGTAGCAGGTTTCTCCGATTTGCAGCAATCCCAAGGGTTCAGGGATTGGAAGGTCTGGAAGGCGGGAGCGAAGGTAGCTGAGGACATCTAGCTCGTTCTCCGGCGGGGCTTGTTGGCGATCCAATGGGCGAATCTTGACTACCACATTGTCCGACAGTTTCAGCACGTGGACGATACCAAATGAGTATAAGACTTTGGCAGAATTGAGCAAACTTCGAACCCGAGTGTGAAGAGGTGGGGATCCAAGGTCATCGTCGAGTCTGTGTGAAAGTGGACGTATGATCTGGATTGCTTGATTCTCGGGGATGGACAAAGCCTGTTTGAGCTCGCGGGATCTGACGGAGACGGGTGCGGAAGAGGTAAAGAGTGGATGTGTCGCTTTGGATTCGGCAGATTTTGACTTGGGTCCGTCTGCGCGGGTCAGTTCATGTATGCTTCGAAATTGGTGACTGGACTGACCATTCGGTTCCTTGAGCTTCTCTTCATGTTTGAGCTCCGCTCTCTGTCGGAGCTTTCTTTGTCGCCGGGGGCCATACTCTGCGTTGTATTTCGCTAAAATTGGCCCAAGATCTGCCTCCGGGTGCTTTTTGAGCGTTCCGACGAACATAGACAACACGGATTTGTTCATGCGTGCAATGCGTTCGAGATCTTCTTGTGTATCGGGAACTTTATTTTCCGATGCGTGTGGAGTTGAATCAACAGATTCATGTGAATCGATTTTCCCTCGCTTCGCCAGGTCATTGGGGTTCATGATGGTAAGTGAAGGGATGGTAGGTGAAGGTCGGTTGCAACTGTTGAGGTTGCGACGCGTCCCGGCGCGTTCATCAAGCTGTGCCGCTGTGTTTCTCAAGTAGTAGCACAGCTATCAACATATCCTTGTTCCTTGATCATTACAGCCTTCAAGGTTCTTCGTTCGTTATCGATCCATACTTCGGTAATACTGTATAAGCAGTACACGTTACAATGCCTACATACCCTCGGAGTTGCAATCTACAAACCCGCCACAGGCTCGGTTAAGCACTGGGCGTTCAGCATTGTTGGCAGCATGTATTCGTGCAGCTTCGTCCGCCTGAGCTCAAACTATTGTTTACTCCGAGTCCAGCTTGTTCTCTGTGACCTACACTTAATACAATCACATCTATGCCACTAGGCAACTTCTAAGCTTTTTCTGTTGTTTACTATACTATCCGTGATTTACCAGACCCCCCACTGGCGTCTAACATGCCGATCCGCCGGCAGAGTGTCTTGAGTCTATGAAGATTTTCGAAGCGTTGATTCCGGACTTCGACTATTACGAGGCGAAGGAAAAACTCGAGAATATCTGTAATGAGTAGACCTGTATCTTTCATTTGTTATCATGTAGTTCATCCTTGTTTCCGAGTTCTTTGTTGCGGCTTTTCCTTTTATTTGATATTTTGAGGCGTATTTACATGTATGTAGCTAACACAAACTGAAGCATATAGGCATGGAGAGATGGAGATAGAGTTGGAGAGGAGAGTTTTATGAGACTGGAGATGACGATTTATCTTTCTAATAGAAGCATTTGACAGATTTTCTGAAAAGGAAACGAAATAGATGACTCAGCTACCATATTATCGCGATTCAACTAGACTGTCTAGGGATATTTTTTTGAACGCTGTGGCTGCTACAACCCAATATGCCACCTCTGCCACAAAACATGATACTCAATCGAAGCCATGTAATAGAAAACTTCCCTATATCGACACCCCCAAAATGCCAAAATGTTTCATCCATCTGGGCCCCGACGACTGTTGCCATAATCATCGATGTAACAAGGCTATAGACCATCCTCCCAAGTTTATCAATGGGTAATAGATTTTCTACTATATCACACCATCAGTATGTATATAAGTACCCGTAGCACCCCAACATCTTACAGTTGCCGTCACTGGTCGATAGATTCCATACTTATATCCACATGTTGAACTGGGAGTACCGGGGCCCCTGATTTCTTTGTTCCCTTCCTAGCTACCCATCGTTTCAAGTAGACCCCATATTCCAATCTGTGCCGCGCGCCCATACCAGTCGCAACTCGCACCCAAATTGATTCCCACCATATCAGTACAAAAGAGCACCTCCCTCGCCTCGACCTCGGCCTCCTCACAACCTTCACATCGTTTCAACTCACTTCACATTCCACAACGAAACCGCAACTCGCAAATACACACCGATCCATCCCAATGTCCACCACCACCACTAACTTCCTGCTGCCCACACTGGCCACGCTGCTGGTCCTGTGCACGAGTGTCCTGATCGCGTGCTTCCTCGGGCCTGCGGTGGTCGCGGGGGGAGCGTGGTATTTGGATTGTGACAAGCAGGAGGAAGACGAGGGAGAAGAGGAGGAGGAAGAGAAGGAGGAGGGAGAGGAGGAGGAGAAGGAGGAGGTGGTGGTACCTGAAGAGATTAAAAAGGAACTTGGAGAGATTCCAAAGCTAATTAGTTTCAGAGGTACTATTAAACTAGAGCGCAGGAAGCTTTTAATGTGTACAAATCCAGAGGAGTGTATGCAGCACAGATGCCCGCTAGCTATAGCCTCAGGGTTAACCCCGAAGATGCAGCTTCCGACAATTATTTAGAGAGATCAGAACGCTAAGAATGCTCAAAAACTAAAGCCTTCTAACGAACTGGATGTTCCTGTCCGTAATTAAATACATGTACACGTTGTAAATAGCGCTTCTCTTATGTCGAACGAATAATAGACACCTGGTTTTAATGAAACGACACGGATAGTCCATGCAGGATAGAAATCGTATCCTCTGGGATAAGTCTTGTAGACTTCCACACCTCGTGGAAGTCTACAGTGATACTTAAAGCAATCCAGACAGACAGGCAGACATGCTAGTCAGAGACATAGATCCAGTCGAACTTCTCCTCCCTCGTGTCTTGCCCATTCATCTCCTCCCCACCCTTCTCCTGGCTCTCCCGCTCCTCCCAGTCCCGCCTCATGACAAGCCTCTGGAACCGCCCCCGCTTCCACAGCACCAGCCTTGCATCCTGTTCAGTGACATGCAACACTTCCCGCCATGGCGCCACAACCCCACCTTTCCCAGAAACAGCACGCCGCGCCCTCCTCCTACTCCACCTCCATCCCCCTTCCCCCCAAGGCCCGTTCCCGCCAAACCCCTCGTCGCCGCCTTCGTACCCGTCGTCATACCCACATCCGCACCCGCACTCGCATCCCGGTTTCGCGCACAACAAAGTGTCGTCGGCGTCGTCGCCGCGGTTGAGCACCTGCGAGATGTCTGACAGGAACGCGCGCGGCTCGATGTAGCGTCGGCTGTAGCTCGCGAGGAGTTTGTGCATCTTGGGCAAGGGCTGGCTAACCAAGGGGGTAGTCGAGGACTGGGCGTATTCCGTCGCTTCGAGGTTGTCTTCGGTGGCGGCGGCGGTGGAGGGCCAAATAGGTTCGATGGGGGGTGTGGCGAAGGGGCGTTTTTGCTTCTTGAATTCCGCTGAAGGGGGCGACGGCTCGTTCTTGCGTTTTGGCATTGTGAGATCTGAATTGATGGTTGATCTTGGTCGTTGTTGTGGTCGTTCTTGGATGAGATTGTCGCGTTGAGTGATCCGTTGAGTTTTCCCTCGAGTTGAAACTTGTTCCTCAATTGCGTTGTCCGTTTATTTGTCCGTTGTCCGTTGAGTTGTCCGTTGAGTTATCCACTTGTTAATGGGTGACGGTTGACGGTGGAGATGATTATGAGCTATAGAGACGTATTCGGTTTTGGCTCGAGTATTGAGGCCTAGCGGCGGGGCGGATGCTCGAGTGAGGGGTCGTGCCCGGGGATTGGACGCCGATTCGAGGATCACACAATACCAGTCCGAAGCGTTGATTCATTATCATTGATGGCTTCCCAATGATTATTATTTTCAAACCAGAGTGAGCAATCCCGGACTCGGAACTAAATAGTTTTTGAGCTCAGGCTGGTGGCTAAGGGTGATCAGACACGTGACACCAACATGCTCCCTGAGCCCGAGTTCTTAGAAAATATTGAAAATATAATAGCAACACTTGGGCTTAGATTCTCTATGACAGCTGCCCTTCAAGATATGTAGTATAGGCTTAGATGACTTGTAACGGTATGTGAATTTAGCTATGGAAGCTTTGAAGTAATAGCTGGGTTTAGATGCTTTGTGAGTGCGACCCTTGTGATAGCGACCCGTATGTGTCATGTGTGTATGTATGTACGTTTGAAGCATGATTAGAGCTTCCAGGGAGAAGAAGGAGCAGTTTGTTAGAGCTGCCAGTAACGAAGAGATGAAGATTCGAGAAAGCAGCTCATAGGAACTTTTAGTACTGAAGAGATGACATAGTGAGCTTTCATCAGTGAAGGGCTGAACTCAAACCTGAAGCATTGTTAGCTGAGCTCAGGTCACCGTTGATGCAGTGGAATTCATTTTTTCCGAAGCAAGCTCGTTTGTTAGAGACTGAGACTCTTCATCTGTTAGACTACAGAGGTCTCGGAAAGCACAAATGATATAAATAGTATGTAATTGCGTGAGTTGTAAGTTACGGAGAGAGCAAGCTCGGACTTGGAAGCAAACAGTGTTTGAGATCCCGCTGATGACAAAGGATGCACGGACACGTGACGCCAACACTCGCAAAAACTCCACGTGCACTTTAACCTCAAGCTCAATCTCCAAACCCAACCCCAAACCCAAGCGCGACCCCACGTTCTAATCTTCACCTCATTCGAGAGTCCAATACCAAAAACGCGCAATTGGCGAATGTGAAAAAGATGAAAATGGGACAAAAGATATCGATGCCGACAAGATTTGAACTTGCGCGGGCGAACCCAACAGATTTCAAGTCTGTCGCCTTAACCACTCGGCCACGGCATCGCTTGTGAATGGGAAATGAGCGTACCGTATATATTCGCTCACCATATGGGTTGGCGCGGCAGTCGTGTCGTTGCCATTCATTCGAGGAGCTAGGGGTTGGCGTCGTGGCTGCTTCGTGCTCGACCGAGCCTTTGAAAATACATGAACCTGGTACTATGTTGTACCTCGCCAACATAGACGACCTTGTCTTGCCATCAACTTGGAGTTTTGTTGGTGTGTGACAGATATGTTAAGAACTCAGACCGATACACCAAGCTTGAAATCGGTCGACCAGTGTGCTGAACCGATCGATAGCTACTAACTAAGTACGGACAGCTATTACCAGCCATAACAAATGAAGAGACTACTTAATCAGAGGTTCAGGTTTTTTTGTAATCTCGAAGTGTCGTTCCTTTTGTTTCACTAGAGATGCAATTGTCAAGATGTTGTGGCTACAGCAAGTGATACAGCACAGTACACTACCGTCTTATCCCCTTTAGAGCATTCTAGAGTACTACCCTCGCTCAGAAGCGGCCCCATCTTGTGCCACTATTCCACCAGCCCGCATCTTGCCCCCGAATTCCGGCTCCACAAAACCCCCTCCTCTCCGCCAGCTACCTCCTCCTCAACCCTCTCCACAAATGTTGCACTTTATGCTCAGCTCACTCTACTTCATTCTTGCCTGCCTGCGCGTTGCATGGACTCTCGCTCCACTGGTAATAGCAGCGAGCGCATGGTATTTTGACAGCCATGGCGAGGACGAAGAGAAATATGAGGATAAGGGGAGCCTTCCGAGCTCCGATATCGCCGTGTCGAATATCCTGACGGCGCCGCAATATCACGGGGCGTATGCGCTGCGGTTAACGCCGAGGCGGAAGAGCGGGGCGCCGTATTCGCCATGATGATAGCTCGCTTCTTTCATTCTGCCATAATCCCACATGTAATCGTTGGTCAAAATAAATATATGCAATAGCCATTGGCTCGCCAGTGCGCCCCCCCCAGAAAAACAGTGCAGGCTGCAGTCGCGACCCAGATTTGAACCCCGCCCCCTCCATACCACAACAAACATCAGCAAAAAGCAAGCCAAGGCCCAGAATCTCTGGTAATGCCCGAAATCTGCAGACGCTCACCCGTACTGCATTTTTCGGGACTTTTTTGTGTCGGTTCGATAATTTTCGTTCTTTCCACATAGATAAGTTTGTTTGTGTTTCGGCAACTTGGCTGACAATTATACAGCAATGCTCGGTGGTGGAGGAAACTGTAGGCGGGGGTAGTGGGCTTCGGATAGAGCGATCTGGAAGTGGTGCAGGATAAAGTCTTGCTGCGAAGAGCACGGCTTCTCTATGATATGACCAGCGATATAACCCTTTGCCGTAAATCCATTTGAACCTTTTGATTTGAGACTCTATTCTGTACAGAGAAAGAGCGCATGGTGCTACCAGTATTTGGGATCTCGCATCGGACCGAATAACTTTGCACAAGCTTAGCTCATAGCTTCGTAGACTAACAAAATCAAACTCCAAAAGAAAAAATCTCTTTATCCACAGTCTAGGAAGTTTCAACATGATGGGCTCAAGAAGTCACTATTCTCTTGGTAATTAAATCGTTCTGCAGACAAAAAGGTAGTAACTGCTGACTAATCACATGTCTACACAAATTTCGAAGTGCATGACAGCCATCTCGGACGATGCTGGCGTTCCCCAACTAGACCGTTCTCCGTACATGGACGATCTTACTGAAGAAACCCAAGCTTCAATTATGGATAACAGATTATTAACTGTGGGTGAAAAAGAGACTTCAAACTCATATTTTCAAGTTTGCATGCTCCCATAACAACATAGGACTTTGATTAACCAGCGGTAAGGAAAAACGCTGATACCCCACGTGGTATCACAAGACCAGGTACGCTGACATTTAAGTCGAAGATTCTACAACTTTCTAGAGTACTGTATTATTAGATAGTGCTCACAACGAACAATTATATTTTGATAATTAAGCATAATTCTCATCACACGTGTGAAGCATAATTTGTTAGACGAGTGTCATGACGCTGATGACTAACCAGCCACGTGATGCCTGGGACTGCTATTTGCCGAGCCCCATATCGGCGAAAGCCCTCTTGGCACAATCGGCTAAAGAACTCTTGGCACCCTCCACCGTCGCCTATAAGTACAGCTCTCCGCCGCCTCCTTCGGACTCTTCTTTTTTTTCCTTAGCTCTCTTTGCCTTTTGGCTTAGATCAAGTGTAGTATCTGTTCTTTTCAGTTTAATATCTGAAATGGCACTATAAGTGCCTTCGTTTATTAATCTTCTTTTTGGAAATCTGGGAGCCGGCCTCTGTGCTTGCACATGTTGGGTCCCACAGTGTCGCCGGTATTGCACTGCCTCCGGTTGACGCGACCCTCTTTTTTTCATTGCTGTTCTGGCCGTTGGCGAGACTGCGAAGGAAAATAGTTGTTGCTAGGAATTATAACTCTTAGCGACGACTTCGATACGTTGGCATTGAGCGCAAGTATCCCACTTCTTTGATCGGTTTTTACCCCATTCTAAGCTTTTGTTTTACCCATCTCGATTCCCCAGCAATTCAGTCAACCAAGCCGCACATGTGAATCTACGATAACCACTATCACCAATCGATCCTAGGCGGTAAATGCAGGGGTCCTACCTCCTGGTTGACAAACATTGAGCCTCAACACCTCGACGGCACCAGCATGTCCATCATGAGCAGGCAAACGCAAGCAAGAAATTCTGGAATTTGGTCCTGGTCCACCTGAAGGCAATAGCAAGGGACACGAAGGGTAACTCTACAAGTGGATCGCCATCTGAGTGAGAAAGATCTACCTCACCAACAACCACGAAGCGAATCTCTCCTTTCCAGCAACCAACCAATCATGGCGAATCGACTTCTAGACCGACTACTTCCGACCGTGACGGCAACCTTGACGGCTATTCACACAAAAACCGAGACCGTCACCCTTCCAGCGGAAACGGTCGAGTACATGGTCATGCCGACCCGTTCCCTTAGCGACGTCTTGCAAGAGATCCACGAAGAGCATACTCCGAGCCAGTTCACCTTTATGGTGATGTTTACAGTCGTTGCTATCGTATTCTTTTCTATCTCCACTCGCTGGTTTGGCATTATGGAGCGACCTCCTGGACCCTTCGATGGACAACCTGGCCCTAAGGTTGATTTTACGGGAACTCATTGGCAACAACCTGCAGGCGGAAAAACCGTGGCGCCTCGTCAAAGGGTTGCGTACAATTGTCAGATCGACGAAGAATTGAGCCCAACGGAAGAATTTAAGCCGGAGGAAGATGATGAGGAGAACGACAGCGAGGAGTCAGATAGCGATGAAGAAGGATCACAGGGGAAGCAAAACTAGGGACAAAGGAGGATAAGATTCGACTACATGCTAGAAGGATTACAATATAGATCTGGCAGAACAATAATAATACCTAATCTTTGGAGCTGGAGATAGACAAACCTTATTAATGCATGTGCAGTGGGAATATTATGTATCTGTGTACGAATATGTATTTTACTAGTTGTAAAGTTACCTGAAGGCACTACTTGATCATGCGCTGCAAATCTCCAAACAAAGCCGAAATTGTTGCATCCTTTAGCAGTGACTTGACTTACCATCGCTGATTCAACTTCGACCCCCACGTTCTATGTATGTACTTCCTGGTCGGTCTCGCCGCGACGTATATAACCAAGCGAATAAATTCTTAAGGTACACCGACGACTGGCGCACATCCAGGCTGTTACAGCTGCACACACTAACCAGCCACAGAGCCCAATCTGTACAATTGCAGCTGGGGACATGAATCCACTCGCTGTTGCAGATGTTGCAGATGGCATATGATCTGCTCTAGTGGTCATTCGGGTTCGACTTTTGAAACCTGTACGTCATGTTTCCGGGTGTGCCTGGCTGGTGCTCTTAATTTTCTCTTCGTACTCATCAGTCTTCTTATCGTTCATCATATTATTGCCCAGACTGAATCGTTCATCTTAAATAAGTACCCACGAACAGCCGACTGAAGACTGGCGAGCAACCTTCAGGCTACAAATCCCCCAACACTCATCAAACCGAACTGGATGCTGGATTATCACCTCGAGACCACGGTCATCAAGACGGTCCCGTTTACGTTCATTCTCCCTGCTGAAAGAGCCCAAATTCTCCTGGAATACGCTGCTGTTTCATCCGGACCCTCGCCCTTGGAATCTCCCACGAGACGTTGTACCCTAGTTTCCTGCCCACAATTATCGGTGTTGCCTGTACTTTAACCGAACGAAAGAGAATGTAGGGCTGGCTACTCAGAATCGAAAAATCACGCAGAAGGAACTTATCTGCGCGCTCAGTTAAATGGCTCCGTTGCGGTAGGGTGATGAAAAGGAAATAAATGAAGTAACTCGGAAGGAGGGCATCAAGAATCACGAGGAAGAGCAGCACCCAGCCGGTGATATGGCTAGGTAAGGCAATTTTAGAGAAGGGCAGTTTCAACAGTACGTATATGGGCAAATAATAGGGAGAGACAAACAATAAAAATAGTGATTGAATTTTTGATTGTTTTCGCCATCGTTATTTACGCTTACGATGTAGATCCATGCTTAGAACTAAGACTGTTCTCCTCACATATAACTATTTCGTTGAAAAAAAAGCTACAAATACGTTTAATAAAAACCCCGCCGAGCGCCCGCCGAGCGGCCCCTGTTCAGCCTTCTGTCCTTTTATCAAGCACTTCGACTAAAGATATACTTCCAACTAAAAATCTTGCACCGCCGCTCCATCAGGTATCTCTAGCACCAAACATCCTCTACCCAAACGCTCGCAGACAACAACAACACTACGATCCTAGAAA